CCAATAAGATGGAAAACACAGAAGAAATGGACAGATTCCTAGATACATATGAATTACCAAAGTTGAACGAAGAAGACCTAAAAATTCTAAACAACGTAATATCAATCAATGAAATTGAAAGTGTAAGTAAAAACTTGCCAACTAAGAAAAGCCTGGGTCCTGATGTCTTCACTGCCGAATTCTACAAGACATTTAGAGAGAAACTACTGCCACTACTGTTTAAACTCTTCAATGAAATTGAAAGGGAAGCAATACTCCTGAATTTATTCCTGGAAACAAGCATCACCTTGATCCCCAAAGCAGAGAAAGACCCAACTGAAAAAGGGAACTATAGGCTACTAATCTCACTAATGAGCATTGATGCCAAATCCTTAACAAGATACTGGCAAACTGAATGCAGAAGATCATCAAGAAGATCATACACCCTGACCAAGTGGGATTTATCCCAGGGATGCAGGAATGGATTGTTCAGCATACGCAAATCAATAAATGTAATACACTACGTCAATAAAGCCAAGGGAAAAACCCATATGATCATCTCAATAGATGCAGAAAAAGCATTTGACAAAATTCAACATGTATTTATGATAAAAACTCTACAAAAAAATTGGAATGAATGGTCTCTACCTCAATCTGATAAAAGCCATCTATGAAAAGCCAACAGCCAATATCATACTAAATGGTCAAAAATTGAAATCCTTCACACTAAAATCAGGATCAAGACAAGGATGTCCACTATCACCATTCCTGTTCAATATAGTCTTGGAAACATTAGCCACAGCAATTAGACAAGGGAAAGAAATAAAAGAAGTAAAGACAGGAAATGAAGAAGTCAAATTGTCATTATTTGCAGATGACATGATACTGTATATAGAAGACCCAAAGAGCTCCACCAAAAGTCTTCTAGACTTAATAACCAACTTTAGTAAAGTAGCTGGATACAAGGCCAACACACAAAAATCAATAGCTTTCCTCTACATGAACAACAGACTCACTGAGAGAGAAATCAGGCAAACAATCCATTTAACAATAGCATCCAAAAAACTGAAATACCTAGGAATCAACCTAACAAAAGAAATCAAAGACCTCTTCTCTGAAAACTATGGCACTCTGAAAAGA